CCGAAGATCGAGCAAGGAAAATACCTTTTTATCTCCTAACAGCGCAATGCAATCCTCAATCACAGGAAAAGGAAAATGCTGTTTCAATACTCTTTCGTTAAGGGGTCGTAGGTCCACGCATAGACGCATCCGACCGTCCTTCTTCCGTACAGGTACTACGCGTGCACAGTACGGAGACGTACTTTTCCGAATTATACCGCGGTCCAGAAGATCCTGAATTATTTTCCTTATTTCTAGTCTTTCGCTATATGCAAAACGTCGCGGTGCATACGTAAAATGTGTGTGGTCCTTGAGACACACTTTTACAGAGTAATTATCGTCGATTACATTTACGGGGGTTTTCTCGACCTCCACTAACAATTCTTGCACCTTATTGGTGGTTTCTATGCCGAAATCTGTTTCAATGTCGAGAGGGGCTCCCTCGGGAGTGTCCTCCTCTACTACCGCTAATAACCTTAGCAACGCCACCGGAAATTCTCGCGCGCTTTGATCGTTTTCTGGCGGGCTATACGTCGCGGTAATCTTGTGCGCGTTTAGAAAATCGCGTCCAATAATAAAATCAGTGACGAGAGTATCCTCTCGTAAAACATGTAAATTTATTTCGAATACTTGTGACGGTAATTGCTCGAGACAGATATCCGTTTTCAACGTTCCTCGGATTTCTACCGGGACATTATTTAACGCTCGGTAAGTACAACGCGGTTTCTCAAGTGACCTTTCGTCTGGCGCGAAAAAACTATCGTATACAAATGATTTCACAAAGGAGACCGGGCTACCCGTGTCTATCAATGCCTTCAAATGACATTTGCTATTGTTTATGGCGTTAACCTCTACTGACAAACTTTCGATTTGAATGTTCCTACCGGTTTCAGGTTGTACAAGGGCAATCGTGGTGTCTTCCTCCGTTACCTCTACGGCTGCTACGGGGGTCGTTGACGGCAGATTCCCTGTAGATGATGCCTTGACTGATGACGACTGCGCTTGCTCCTTCCGCTGCAGCTTGTAGCAATTCGCTCTGACGTGTCCTGTCTTCTTGCAGTAATGGCAGGTAATCTCGTCCTTGTCCGGCGTCTTGGACGACTGGTTCGCCTTCTCCGTCGTTGCTTCTTTCGCCTTGGCTCCCTTCCAACCACCGGGGAGTCTCTTATCGGCTTCCATTGACACGGAGGCTACCCGTCGCATGGCTTCCAGAAACGAATCAACCGTTTCGTGATTCAAAGAAATAGCGATCTCTCTAAGCGCTCTATTTCCAATGCCGCTTATGAGAAGATGTATTGCGCTATCTTCTGCTAAGTTTAAATTATGCATGAGGGTTAACTTCTCCATGGCATATTCCATGAAAGACTCTTTCACAGCATTCCACCGACGTGCTTCCACTTTCTGTAAAGCTACGTGGTAAAGAATCTTCCTTTGGAAGCGTCTAGTGACTGCTTCCTTAAAGCCGTTCCACGACTCGATCATAGGTCCAAAGCCTAGGTCATACCACCGCTTGGCTAATTTCACTAACCTTGAAGATGCCGCTAGCAAGATTACATCATCGGGAACTCGATGCACTCGTGCTACCTGTTCTATTCGTCGAATCCAGAGCTCGACGTTCTCATTTTCTTGGCCACCGTATTCAGGGATTTGAGATGCCAGCAAATTAATTGAGTGCGAATACGGCATTGATGCAACCGTGGTTCCTCCAGATGAAGCACGGCT